TTCTAATAGAACACAGGTTTATTAATGGGAAAAGAATAGAATCCAACTTTGTAGACTATAAGAAATTCAAAGGTCAGACTAAATTTTATTGGACAACTACTTACTCTGCAGATCCGAATGCCAGTGTGTCATAAATACCTTTGAAAGGATGTCTTTCTACTTCATTCTCATTTGAAATGTAACATAAAAATTATCAAAATGCATTGCATTTCTTCAAACAATTTTCAATACATGGTTTTTCTCCTAAAAAAGGACCCTTTACATAAGACTCCAATAAAACAAGTATACACAGCACTCAGTATTTCTGTGCTGAAGTATATCAAAACAAACCAAATTTGCAGATAGTGAAAACTTAAATATGAACATGAATAAAGTATTTAGCCCAGCTAATTAGAAGTCAGTAATTCTATCATATACCTCCTGACTAGAATTTCACTTAAGAATTAATTCAGGCTGTGGTTTCATCACATGTTCTGCTGTCCTTTATCACCTACCCCTCATTTCTGTCCCACCCTTGTGCTGACATCAAAACTGATTTGGCTCAAATATACACTCTTTTAAAACACTTCACACCTTCCACCTGGGGCACAGCTAGACAGCACACAATCACCACTGTAACTGGGCGACAGATTTCTGGGTGGTTTGTTTGTTTGTTTGTTTTTGTTTGTTTGTTTGTTTTTAAAGTAAACCTCTTCCTTCCTTGCAGTAATGTCCCAACTATTCTTTTCCCTATTATTGGGCTTGTGTCTGCACAACAAACCAATAAAATTCACTTTTCTGGAAAGAAATTATTAATTTCTTTTGTTCAGACTCCTCATTCCGTCAAACACCAGAGCTGAGGAAGGAGAGGTGAAAATGCATGACCAGGCCAAGACCAGACAACAGTAACTCTTTAGAGTGGCTCTGCCACACGCATAACTGAGCCTTTAAATCCTTTTAAAGCAATCAAATTCCAATCTCAGGTTCTTAGATCATGGCCAAAATAGGGTGCAGGGGTGATTATGGAATTTCAGAGTTACTATCTAAACACCATTTTTTAAAAAATCAACACGAGCATTTCTGAAGCAACCAACAGCTACCTTCATGAGCCAGACACAAAGTCCTTAGCCCATTTATTTTAAATCCCAGCTATGTGCTAGAGGCTGAATGCCACATTAATGAAGGCTAGTACTCTTCTCAATTTATAGTCAGGCTGCAGCCTAAACCACTTCTATACTGATCATTCATAAATGCCTTCCCACAACTCCCCCATGTGTTCAGAAAAAAACAGAATTTCTCCCATGCTAAGTGGGAAGCAGGTTCTTCAGCATTCAGCAGCACAAGACATTAAGGCACAATTCTGAAGCCCAAGTAACATAGAAGCATGTACCAGTACAAACAACTTACCACACACTTATAGTAAAGTTCAGCCTTGCCAAAGCATGATCTCTCTTGCCAAATTCAAACTTTTTTGTTTCATTAGACCTCTTTATTTTCTCCACCCCCTTCTTAAATATTCCTCAGCTAGAAGAAAAAGTTCTATCAGTTGTTTCTACTCCTCAAAGTATATCATTATTTATAGAAAATCATGAATACATTAGCATACTTCTTCATTTTATCCTAACAGTAGAAAAGAACATTGCCCCAAGCTGAGAACTCCTTCATACATTACAAAATTAATAGCACCAGCTGCTGAAAAGAATGAAGTAACTCCAAGTGTATTAAAGAAAAACAAATGAGACTCCTTTAAAAAAAAATACAAGCTACAAGTTTCAAAGAACTATCTACTGGAAAGTAACAGACATATCTACTTAAGAGAAATTTTACCTTCCACCAATTACCAAAAAATAGTAGCAAGCCTTGTTCCTACTCACAATACTGAAACTGTACTCAGACTTTACAGACAGGCAACTTGTTTGCTGAAGATCATATTTATTCAGTCCTAGAAGAGGAAACAAAAAAAGGGTCTAACCCTCTTCCCCACCAAGTGCTCTAACACCAGAAACCGATTACGCCTGCGCTTTAGCTTCTACCAGACCGAGTTGCTTACAACTTGTCTGCATTAACCACAGGCCGTACAGCTGGTTACAAGGCATGGCACTGCAGACACTTCGTAACACTAGTGACTGCTTTTGATTGTGTTCCTGTTACACAGTCTTAAAAGAACAATTTGGGTTTGGAAAGTAAACAACTTTTCCATCAATCAAAATGAAGATGCTTAATTCTAGACAATTAAATCACTCTCATTTTTCTCCCTCAAATAAATCATTAAATTACATTGCATCTTAATATGTAAAAACTGTTGTCTTTGTAGCTTTACTTCACAGTTAATAACGAATCATACTAAACCCTGTCAATCTATAACACACCTTTAACAGTGTTTAAAGACTATAATTAAGTGCAAGTGGGGTAGACAAGGCTTAGCAAATTGTGAAAGAAGAGTAAAGCACACATATCTCGGAAAAACCTTTTGAGCACAACCAGCAGAAGTCATGCAAAAAGAAAAAATAACAATAAGTATTAATGCTGGCTTTCCCAAAATTATTTGATATTTACACAACTTTGTAAGATCAGGGCAGAATAAGCTGTATGTGAAGAGAACACAGAAGACTTACTTTTTTTTTTCCCCAGTTACTTTCAGTTTGCATTGTTTTGATAGTGACACAACCCCCAAGCCTGCCTTGTTTTGAAATAGATATCCCTGCCTTACAGGAAGAAAGGTGCTCAGAAGCAGAATTCCGTCGTTCCGGTAACCACACCGCTTAGAGCGCTTCGGCAAGCCCACAAACTTGCCCGCTCCTGCGGAGCCCCCCTCCAGGGGCGCGCGGGGCGGCTCAGGCCGCGGTGCCGCCCGCGCTCCCGCTCCCCGCGCGCTCC